CGAGCGATGTCTGCCGCTCGGAAGACCCCCCACGCGCGGCAGTCTTCCTGCCAGTCTCCGTGTCGGAGTCTGTCTGGCTGCGCCTTTTGAACTCCTTTTGAGCTGTGCCGCAGATCTTCCTACTTCTCGCGCTGTTCGCCGCCCGTTGGGGCGCCGCTCATGCAGTGGGCAATCATGGTCGCGACCAGTGGGGATCGGCATGGAAGCAGCAGGGCGGCTACGGAGGCTACGGTTCCAGGGGGAGTGATTGGGGAAACCGGCGATTCGACCTGGAGCGCCGCCTCGAGCGTCTGGAAGAGGATTTGCATCAGGATCATCAAAGTCCGCCGATCCGGTGTGTAAGTTTCTGAGAGCGTGGACTCGAGCTCGCTCAAGCTTCGCTCTGCAGGGGGGGGGGCCCACGTTATTTCCGACGTCATTTCCGACGTCTTTCGGTACCCGGGGACAGGGGGGGATAGAAAATTCAAATTCCTGCAAGAGGGCCCGAATCGCCGAAACATCGTTCGAACCGCCCAAAATGCCCCGAAGACAGCTCCAGAAACCTCCAAGACGTCCCCAGGATCCCTCACGACACTTCCCAAGAACGCCCCAAGACTGAAAAATAGCCCCATGCCCTTTGGAAAACGTATATTTTCTGACTATTCGTTTCTTGGGCCTTCACAGTGTCCAAAACGGCCCCAGAGCTCACTAGGACACGCCAACAGGCCCCCAAGAGGGCTCCAAGACGGCCCACGAAGGGCCCACGACGGCCCAGGAGCGCCACAAGACGACCCAAGTCCAGAGCCCAGACCGCACAAGACGGCTCAAGAGAAAGCCAAGAGAGGCCCAAGAGGCCCCCTAGACGGTCCAAGAGGGCCCCGACTCGCCGAAACATCGTTCCAAGACGCCCACGTTGTCCCCAAGACGGCTCCAGAAGCCTCCAAGACGTCCCCAGGATCCCTCACGACACTTCCCAAGAATACCCAAAGACTGAAAAATAGCCCCATGCCCCTGGGAAAACGTATATCTTCAGCATATTCGCTTCTCGGGCCTTCACAGTGTCCAAGACGGCCCCAGAGAGCCCCCAGACACGCCAACAAGCTCCCAAGAGGGCTCCAAGACGGCCCAAGAAGGGCCCAAGGCGGCCCAAGAGCCCCACAAGACGACCCAAGTCCAGAGCCCAGACCGCACAAGACGGCTCAAGAGAAAGCCAAGAGAGGCCCAAGAGGGCCCCTCGACGGTCCAAAAGCCCCGCATCGCCGAAACATCGTTCCAAGACGCCCACGTTGTTCCCAAGACGGCTCCAGAAGCCGCCAAGACGTCCCAAGGAAACCTCAGAACACCTCCCAAGAATGCCTCCATACTGCAAAATAGCTCAATTCCCCAGAGAAGACGTATATGCTTAGCATAGTCGCCTCTTCGGCCTTCACAGTGTCCAAGACGGCCCCAGAGAGCCCCCAGACACGCCAACAAGCCCCCAAGAGGGCTCCAAGACGGCCCAAGAAGAAGGACCCAAGACGGCCCAAGAGTCTCACAAGACGACCGAAGTTGGGAGCCCAGACCGCCCAAGACGGCCCAAGAGGAAGCCGAGAGAGGCCCAAAAGACCGCCTAGACAATCCAAGAGGACCCGCAATGGCCGAAACATCGCTCCAAGCCGCCCAAGATGTCCCCAAGGCAGTTCCAGAAGCATCCAAGACGTCCCAAGAAACCCTCACGACACCTCCCAATAATGCCCAAATGTTGAAAAATAGCCCCATTCCCTTTGGAAAACGTATATGTTAAGCACATTCGCCTCCTCACTCTCGTTCATTCCGTGTCCTCCTCCTTCACTTCCCCCTTCTCCTTCACCCTCCGCCGCTCCCCTCCCCTCCGAACCTCCTGCTTTCTTCCTCCACCCTCCTCCAAACCTCCCTGCTCCCACCTTCTTTTTCCCTCCTCCTTCCTCCCACTTCTCTCGACATCACTCCTCCCTCCTTTGCCCTCCCTCCTCGGGAAAATCAGGACCAGCCCCTGGACAATCGATTTCTGGTCATCACCATCACCCTCATCATCACCCCGGCTACAACCCAATTCCTCATCATCGCCACCATGAGCACGACCATCATCATCGTCACCATCATCACCAAACATCATCATGCTCACCATCACCAACATCATCATCATCAGCAGCATCACCATCATCCTCATCACCATCATCGTAATCATCGCCATGCTCATCATCACCAACACCCACATCATAAACATCATCACCATCGACCCAATCGTCATGATCATCATCATCCTCATCCTCATCCTCATCCTCATCCTCATCCTCATCCTCATCCTCATCCTCATCATCATCATCATCATCATCATCATCCTCATCCTCATCCTCATCCTCATCTCGCTTTCACCCCCCCCCGGATCGGCGGCAGTGGCCGGAGGCCAGCCCCCCCAAAAAATAAAACGAACATCACAACGACAACAACAACAACAACAACAACAACACACAGATCGGCGACGAAAACGGAACAGCTCGACTTCGTCTGGGTCGTCCTCGTCTTCGGGCTCATCCTACAGCAAGCAGAGACAGAAAAGTAAGAAGAACTATTATAATAAAGACAAGAAGCCGCACAAAAACAATAATCACCATGAGCACAAAAACCCCAGTCCGCAAGATTTTGCGGGGCTGCAGGAATTCCGCCGGCAGGCCGAGGTGATGAAGATCCGGAAAGAGGTCGAGGCCAGCATGGGCGGTGGCGTGGGCGCTCGTGAGCCGCCCCTCGCCCTCCCCCTGCTGGCGGGGGCGACGCTCCGCCAGCGCGGCCGGAGGCCTTCATGCCCAAGACGAAGGAGCTCATCACCGCAGATAGCCGCATCTTTGCTGATGGCGTGTGTCGCGGCCTCCTCGGCGAGAACATGCCCTCTTGGGCTGACGTCAAAGCTCAGCTCCTGTCCCGCGAGATCGTCGAGGTGAAGCGCCTGTTCGGCCAGCTCCTTCCGGAGTCGGAGGTGACCCGCACCCAGGCAGAGATGGCGGCGAAACGAAATTAGCGCAAGTACCCCAGAAGAAGGCGTCGTGAGGGTCGCCGGGCCAGGTCGGGCGAGAGGGCTCCCTGGCCAAGCAACCCCCTCTGAGCGGACAACGTGAGCATATGAGTGTAACCCGGCTTCTTATCAATGCTCTGGTCGTCGGTATCCTAATGGGTATTTCGCTGTCGAATTTCGCCTTTGTCAGCGATTGCTCGTCCGCCATCTTCCCGCCTGCCTGCCGGAGCTCCCAATATATGTGTGAGCAGACAACGGACTGGCATGGGACGAACGCAGTAGCTCGCAATGGACTGAGGGACCACTGGGGATCCCCATCTTTTCTGGCCTCGACCAGCTAGCGTTCGCCAGGGCGGCATGTCGTCTCTGCCCACAGTCCGTCTCTACACAGCTACACATGCGTGCGCAAAGATACTTACAGGACGCGGCAGGGCGTCAGCCCCTGGACAGTCTCTCAATGTTTCCAGCGGTTGCTCGAGCTACGATTGGGTTTGCCCGTGGCCCAGCGCGTGGGTTTTCCGCGTGAAAACTGCCAGGCAGGGAACATAACCACGTCCAAAGACGGCTGGAATTTGATGAACCGCAGAGGGTCTTTAATGATGCACAGGCGGGTTGGCAGCCCGATCGTCTCCACAGCTCGACGGGGCTGTGGGAGAGACTCTTGCCCTGTGGTTGGCCAGCCACAGTAGGTGCGGGCCCGCCGTACCACCCCTGAGAGGCCCGATGGGGTTACTCGAAGGGGTCCCCCGCCGTGGGGGGCGCGGGAACCTAAGTCCTTGGGCAGCGGGGCCTCCGCTGCTTGAGGCCGGCGGCCAAGTGGGGGTGGTGCCGGTGGCCGTGTCTCGGGGTGGCATCTCGAGGCACCTCGCAACGGCGGCGCGGATAACGCCGGGGGCGGTCCGTGCCGCCGTTCGTGTTGCGAGGTCCGACTGCATGTGAATTCATGCAGGCACCTTGGGCACCTCCCTTCGGGTTGTGTCGCCCAGGTGTTCTGTCCGGGCAATGAAAAATCTTTAATGATGCACCCCCCCCCCAGCCCTCGGCGGGGAATAGAAACTCGTCCCTCCTCCTCCTCCTCCTCCTCCTCCTCCTTCCCCTCCCTCCTCCTTCCCCTCCGTCCTCCTCCTCCTCCTCCTCCTCCTCCTCCTCCTCCTCCTCCTCCTCCTCCTCCCCCCCCTGTTCTGGGCTCCGTTTCGTACGAGTCGACGAGGAGGGAGGACGACGACGAGGACGACGACGACGACGGGAGACGACGACGACGAGAACAATAAATTTCCAACTCTTTTGAGCACTTCTCATGACCTCTCATGCATCCGCCGACGAGAATAATTCATTTCCCATTATTGTCGGGGTCCCAATCCGTCAATAAACTGGCGGAAAAATATTAGCTTTCCCATTATTGCCCGGGGGTTTATTAAAGACCCTTTGGGCTTAAGGGGGCTGCAGAACCTGTGGATAGCTGTTTCAGGGAATAGGGTGTCCGAGAGCCTGCGTCGTTTGTATATCGCCCAGAATCGCCTACACACTTCTGACTCCGCCAGGACCTCCTCCCCGCCCCTGCCTCCTAATATCCTCCTTCCCCTTGCTCCAGGTCCGCCCCGTCCCACGGCCGTACCGGCCAATCCGCAGTGTACCGGCGCATCCGCGGTGCACTGGCCTCGGCAGCCCAAGGACGACGGTGTCCTGCGTGCGAAGCCGAAACCACCCGGCACCGCGTACACAGTGTTGACTCCGCCAGGCCTTCGTGTTCCTTCCCCCCTCTTCCTTGGGCCTCTCTTTTCCTCCTCCTGCCGCCCGTGTAGGAGCGGCCACGAGGCGGAGGCCACGGGCGGCGACGCGGCGAAACCCCCGCGGATCCATGGAATTCCTGAGTGGCAGAGGTAAGAAAATCTGAGTTCTACCACTTGTGGGGGAACATGTGTATATGTGTATGAAGTCATGTATAAATGCAAACATACATATATGTACACATATATAAAAATGTAATGAATATGCGATGGATAGCGGGACGACGTGAGAGGAGTCGCGCAGTGTCAGACTACAAACTGGATCGCGCTAGCCGAAGTGCTGAGCAATACAAATGCCCTCCGCGCATGACCACGTGGTTAAACAGAGCCGCCTTCCTAGAATGCACACCACAGCACCTCTGAGGCTCTGAAATATCTGCTGTGCCTCTCGCTACTCATGGCATTGAGCACGCCTGGTACCTAAAGAACGGGGAGCCTTTCAGTTTGTGTGGGAGAAAGCGTGACACTCTCGGTCAGACGTCTTCGTCCATCAACTCCCAAGCGGCACGCCTCGAAGATCGCCCACCACTCGAGGCCGAACCTCAGCTTCTCATTATCAGCGTCCTTGAATTGAGCCACAATGGCCCGAACGGTACTCAATCATTTTCTAGTGTATATGATCTGTACTACTCTACGCTGCGTGGCTGCCGTAATCAGTAGAAAGATTCGGTGAAACACATTGCTATACAAGACATTTCGGGGTACATTTCGGGATTTTCTTAAATGTGCCCCGCGGTTCACCGGACATCGGTCAATAAGACATGTCCGTGGGGCGCCTACAGGCAGGCTGCCTTCTTGTTTGATGTGCCAGCTGGCACCATGCCAGAGCCTCGCGAATCATGCTGCCATAGCCTGACCTGCTGAGTGCTTCGCTTGCCTCAATTGAGCTGCGCTGTTATCAACATAGAAGCAGGACGGGACGGTGGCACGAACAATGAGATGTTGATGCTGCTGACAATTTGATGGGGTGCTGCAAGGACGACTCCGAAGGCATACGACTCCTGGGGCGGATCACCTATTCCGCTTGAGCAAGACCGTTCACTCGAACAATCGGCTGGGTCGAGAACCAACTCGTGGGGACTCCTAAATGGGGTCCCGGTCCGTGTGGGACCATCACTCAATACATAAGAACAAGACGCATGCTTCCTACTGCCACGACCCACTCCCACTGCCCTGAATCCCCTTGGGGATCTCCTGACTTCTGGTCAGCCGAAGAAGCATGCCGAGCGCGAGCCTGCTTGCGCCGCCCAGCACATCGAAGCTCGGCTCCCCTGCAACTGCCAATCCCCGATTGGCCAGATGCCATTCGATTTATGGTGAGCGCTGGTCTGCACGTTGTGCACCCAGCAGCGCTCGCCAAAGAGGTGAAACAGGAAAGGGGGTGGCAAGAAAACAGAAAAAGACATCGTCCGCTATCAGCCCCGCTCTCAGTCCATGTTGGCCCGGCAGAGCGGACACTGCGTGGAGCGCTGGAACCACCTGGCCAGGCAATTTATGTGGAAGAAATGCCCGCAGCTTAAGGCTGTCAGCAGCTCGCCGCTGTTGTACCCCTCGAGGCAGATGGTACAGCTCTGCTGCTCGGAAGACTCAAAGCGCACCTGGCGTCGCGAGCCCTCCTGCCGCACTCAGCGCCAGTGGGTCTGGGAACAGCCTCAGACATCCGATGGATCGATTCTTTCGAGTCGAGGGCCCCAAATCGGCTCGCCCTCTTTCTGGGGACATGTGTTTGAATCGCGGGCTGTTTTCTGGAGATCCCTTAATCCAGAAATCAGCCCCCAAGAAAGCGCGAACATGTTGAAAAAGCACCTGCCATCTCGGTTGCGTCGGGTCTCCGGATGTCTGGGAGTCGGGGCGATCCATGGCGGGGCCAGACAGAACCATCAGTACGTGGCCGAGCCCGTCGGCCATGGGCCGCTCTCTCTCTCTCTCTCTCTCTTTCTGGGCCCCGCCAGGGTCTGCCCGACCGCTCCTGGACCCTGGCGCGCGCTGCGTGGGCAGGGGCACCGCTGGCCTGGGGCAAGGCCTGGATCTCCTCGTCGGAGAGCCTCTGCCCAGTGAGGACCGTCCCGAGCTGCAACACCCTCCGCACGCTCCTCGAGAGGCTCTCGTCCAGGGCGAAGCTCTCCGCGGCGAGCCTGTTGAGCACGCTGGCGAACCCGCCGTCGAGGCCGCCATCCAGCGACAGCGTGTTCTCGAGAGCCGTGCCCACAGTGCGGGCGGACTGTTGGACGCTCATGCTCTCCGAGCGATTGGAGCGCGCGGTCGACAAGTTGCTGCGCATCGTGTCGCCGAAACCCCAAACCGATGCCGTCTCGTCGAGGATGTCAGCAGCGACGCCTGACCCGAATCTGCCGATCCCCACATTCAGCGGCCTGACCTGGGGAGCGGACAAGTGTGTGTGTATATATATATATATACCAACAACCCTGCAAGCACCGCAGGGGGAGTGTCTGTGTCTGTGTCTGTGTCTGTGTCTGTGTCTGTGTGTGTGTGTGCGCGGAGGGGGTCCAATGCCGACCCACGAAATCCGCACTGACCTCTGGAAGTTGATTCTCCGAACGGTGCTTGCACTTAGGGGTCGGCCCAGCGCGTCACGGTCGGCCGCTCTCGAACTCGTGCCCTGTGGTTGGTGCCCCGTGGTGCCCTGTGGGTCGTGCTCGGCCGCTCGCGCTTGCTGCGCGATGGTTGGTGCCCTGTGGTGGTCAATGGTTGGTGCCCTACGGTGCCCTGCGCATGGCTGGGTGCCCTCTGTCTCGTACCGCACAGCTTGCACAGCAGGGAACCGGCCGTTAAGGGCCCAAGCGCTGGCATCATGCTCGTGCTGGCTGTCTTTGATCCCGATGACCGCCTCCCAGTCGCGCGACGTGCCCGGGGGGCTGCTGCCGCCGCTCCGTGGGCTGTCGAAGCCGTCGATGGTGGCGACGCCCTCGTCCTCCTCGCTCAGCGCCCCGCCGCTGGGCGCGCGCTGATGGCTGTGCGCCCGGGCCGAGCGGGCGGCGGTGGCAAAGGAGGTGGTCGTCCTGGCCGTGTCAATGACCGCGTCTGCCTCCCACGTCACCTGAGCGGCGGAAAGAGGGGGGTCTTACGCACGACTATGCGGCGACCTTGCGCGAGCCGCCAGCCCGGCACACCGCGTGGAAACGTAGGCGCCTACGCGCGACCTTCCGCGGGCAACTTATGCGCCAATCTCCGCGCGACTGGCCCCCTGCTCGACTTCGCCCAGTCTGCTTTGAAACATTGGGGGCCCCTTCCTCTGTGTCAATGGCACAGGACCCGTGCCAATGTAGTTTCACTTATCACGATGATGCGTTGCAGTAAACCAGAACTGTGCTGTATATGATTTGTGGTGGTTTGATGTGCGTGCGCTGTCGCGCGTGTGAGTTCGCACCGACGCCGCTATTGATCCAATACCGAGGGGCCCCTGAGTCAATCAAAACTACGAGCGAATGTCTTCGATTCCCTTTATATTTCTTATTATGTTATGTTTGGTTCCCTACTTCGTGTGGGAGAACCTCGGTGGTTCCAGAGGAGTGCTACCGACATTGGTAGCGGAGCCAGTGGCTCCTGATCCGTGGCAAAAAAGATCGGAGACCTCGCTCGTGGGTGATCGCACTCACCAGGGGAAGATGAGATCTTCCGGCTCCGGCGGCAGCCCGCGACCCAATGGCAAGGGCAAGCAGAAGCCAGCAGATGATGCCGTAGTAACGGCACAGCGGATCAACCAAGAGGCACTGTTCGGCTGGATGACGGCGACACGGACAATGACCTGCGTGATGGAGGCCGAGACCAAGGTCGAGGCAGAGGCGACAGACAGCCGCAGATGGACGCAGGGTTGGCTAAGTGCTGCCCGGGTGCGACGGACCTACGGCACGACACGTACCGCAACTTCAGAAGGAGAGCGACGGTGTTCCAGCGATTGTGTCAGCGCCGAGGTGATACGGTTGTGGGTGAAAGAGCATACCTATTACTGCAGGCGCTGCAATTCGATGCCTGGGACGCCTGCGAAAGTATCAAATGGAGAGGATGGACACGAGCGAAGCGTTCGATGAGATTTTCGGCAAGCTGGACGTTCTGTGTAAATGCACGAAGGAAGTGGAGTTGCCAGGAAGATGCGACGCGTTCTTTGGAGAGTTCTCGAGGTTGCCGAAGGAGACCTTGAACGCGTATGTGTTACGACACGGCCAAGAAATGTCTGAATTACGAGAAGCATGGCTGGACCTACCGGACTTGCTGGCGGGTTGGCACATTATGACGAGGTCGGCGATACCACGATGGCAGATTCCGAACCTCAAGGCGCTGTGCAACAACAAGCTCACAGTGCAGGTGGTGACGGAGTCGCTCACGACGATGTTCGGCGGCGACAGCACAGCACACAAGAAGGACATCGAGCGCGTGACGAGCACGTAACAGGGCAAGAGTTCCGAAGGTGGCGACACCTACTGGGCCGAAGGAGAGGACGACGATACCTACTGGTACGAGGATGAATACACGGACGAGCTGTACTACGAAGACGACGTGTGGTATGAGGAAGACGAGGACAGGAGCTCGAGGACGCGTACGAAGCGACGGAGGAGGCCTTCGCGAACTACACGGAGGCCCGGGCGAAGATGAGAGAGCTGGCGACGGCGAGAGGATTTTACCCGGTGATGGCGTTGATGGATGACCGACGAGGATTACCACCACCGCGGGCCGGCGATATGCGGCCACCCAAAGGACGAGGACGAGCAGGCTCGGGATACGGCAAGTCGCGTAGAAGCTCAAGTAAAGGCAAAGCAAGAGGCAGATACGGTGGCAGAGCACCATATGGAGGCAAAGGTGGAGCCAAGGGTGGACGGCATCCCGACGGCTCGCCTAAGATGACTACGGCAGGTGCGACTCAGCAGCACGGACCACGATTCAAGCGACGACGAGATGGTGCAGCAGGCGACGGACCCGAAGAGGCGAAGATGCGTGGTGACATGACGATGACGGAGATCGCACCGAGCCCCGAAACGACGACGATAGAAGAGGTAAATTTGGCTACGGGCAAACGTGTCGGCGACAGTGGAGCGACGAAACCAGTGATGGGTCTCGAGGAGTGGCCAGCATGGGGCGAGAAGATGCAGAAGGTGGGTCTATCCAAGAAGATCCAGACGGCAAGGTACCACAAGACGTTTAGGTTTGGCAACGACGAGACTGCGACGGCGAAGCAGCAGGTGACGTTCCCTGTCTGGGTGAAGAACGCGAAGAGGCAGATCACGGTCTACCTCGTTGCAGGCCGAGGTGTCTCTGCTGGTGGCAAGGCCCTGCCTGGAGGAGTGGGGCATGGTGATCGACTAATGCAAAAAGAAGGTAATGTATCTAGACGATCAGCCACTGGAGTGGATCGACATGGAGACGAATGAGAAAGGCCATCTGATCATCGATCTGCTTAGCTTCCCGTCCGATGTGCTAGCGGCAGATGAGGGGTCAAACTCAACGGACGCGGACGACGACGGCGACCACAAGGTGGAAAACGAGAAGAAAACGGACGTCTCCGTGACCAGCAGCTACGGCGACGTCGAGATCGAGAATGCGGAGACCACGAAATTCGATGCGAAGCAGCTGGAGGATTGGCTCGCAGAGACCAACCGCACGTTGGACAGAAAGCCGAAGGCAAAGAGGCGGTTCTGGGGTATCTCCGTGGCAAAAGGACGAATCGCGCACTACGTGAAGAAACACGTCGACTTCAAGACGGAGAAGCTTACGTTGGAGACAAGCTGGGACTTCACGAACGGTTCGCATCGCAAGGCATTCATGCGGGACCTAGTGAAGAAGAGGCCGGAATAAGTGTGGATAGCACCGCCGTGCACTGTCTACGATCAGCACACTGGCAGAAGCGAAAAAGAGCAACGAATACCGACAGCAGCGACGGAGAGAGCGTGCCAAGCAGCAGCGCGAATTCCTGAGGTTCAGTCGGGAGATCCACGAGGCGCAGCAGCAGGCGGAGAGGCACGCGCATCTAGAGCACCCTCGATACGCGACGTCGTGGGAGACCGAGGCGTGGTACGGCATGACGGGTTACGACACGTTCGTGGACCAATGCGACTACGGACTCATGGCGTTGGACTCGGCAGGTCGAAGGCTCGGACCGATCAAGAAGCCGACCAACAGAAGGACCACGAAGCTCCAGATGTACGAGGGACTCTGGAAGACATGCAACTGCAAGGAAAAACACGTGAGTCTCGAGGGTGGACACAACATGCGTGGTGCGGAGAACTACCCGAGGAAGATGGCATTCCAGGCGCGATCTGCATCGTGGACGATCCGCAGAACGAGGCAAGCTACGCGGTGGAAGAGATGACCCAGGGGGACCTCGACAAGACCGAGTACAAGGTGGTGTGGAAGGCGCCGCTGGAGAAGTTCACCATCGAGGAGGTCAAGTGGGTAGAGAAGCTACATATCCAGATGGGCCATCCCTCGAGCGAGGTGTTGGCAGCAGCATTGAAGGAGATGAACGCGGTCGACCGACTGATCACCTGTGCGAGGATATACATATGCGAGACATGCCTCAAGCGGCAGAGGCCAAAGTCAGTGCGAGTCGCCCGCGTCCCGCGGGATCGAGGATTCAACGACATCGTGGATATCGGCACGTTCCATGTGGTGTGGAAGGACAAGCACAAGGTGATATTCACCATCATGGACGAGAGCTCAATGTTCGAGGTCGATACGGTCGTGAAGGACGAGAAGGCACGCACCGAGATCAGGGCGCTCGAGAAACACTGGATGAACTGGGCCGGAGCGCCGGCCAATATTCGAGCTGACCAGAGCGGCGCGCACGTGAGTGACGAGTTTATGGAGTGGTGCGACGGTCGGCAAATCAAGCTGCAGCTGATTCCACGGGATGCTCACCATCGACTTGGCATACTCGAGCGGAATCATCACGTGCGACGGGAGCAGATAGCACGATATCGTGAAGATCACCTGAGGACAGCTTGAAGCTTGCGGTGCGCATGACTTGCGACGCGCGCAATCAGCTGCGCAACGTGAAGGGTTTCACGCCATCGCAGCGGGCGGACGAGCCGACAACTACCACGCCCGGACGTTTCGGCTGACACGTCACAGGACGTGGGAAGCCCGGAGATGGAGCGCGAGACGACACCAGCTGGACCAGGTCCTGAGCAGGTCGAAATGGAGCAGAAGACGACCCAGACCGCGGCTGAGAAGCGAAAGACGGAGGAGCACACGGTCGAGGACGGTGACGAGTTGCTGGACGCCATCAACGCGGCAAGATGACTGGACGGATTGCGGCCATTACCGAAGAGACCAAAGCAGACCGACGTGACGGCAGCTGCCAGCGCAGTTAGCAGCGGTGAAGGCGACGAGCTACTGCCCCTGTACGTGGACGCGGACACGATCTACCTGACCAACGCGGCCAGAAAGGATTCGGTGGTGGAGGCCAGGCTAAGTTTAGACGAGCGGAGGCAGTTCGACGAGGCGAAGACCAAGACGATGCAGCCATGGATCGAGAACCAAGCGTGGCAGGCAGTCAAGGAGAACGTGGCGGACGCTGGAGAAGTCTGCCCCAGGCGTTTCCTGCTGACGTGGAAAATGATGGAGTGAAAGAGGCGAGCGCGAGAGTGATCCTAGAAGGCTTCCACCTGGAAGAGGTGACCAGCACTAACGTGGAGAAAACGAGCCCTACTCTCACGCGGCGCACGAGGTTCCTCATCCTGCCCATTCTGTGCCAGCAAGCTTGGAAGATGGTGGCAGCGGACGTGAAGAGTGCGCTCCTTCAGGCGAAGGGCACCAGAGAGCAAGGAGTTTTCAGCAGGCCGACCAAGGACATTCGACGTCGACTGGCGAAGATGATGGGCCTGCAGGGCGACGAGATCCTGCAGATGCTAAAACCCGCCTTGGAGACGTACGAGCCCCTAGGCAAAAAAATCAGACGATCACGGAGGCCATGCTCGAGATTGGCTTCCTGAACCACGCGCTGGACAAATGCTGTTTCCTGTCATACCGCCTGTCGCTCGACGGGGACGATCCGTTTCTGATCTGGCAGGCGGACAACGACCAGCACTATGTGTTGGACGGCGTGCTGCGGCTGCGCGTGGACGACTTCATCGGCGGCGGCGAAAACTCCGAGCGCGAGGTGGAACCTCTACAACGAGCAGGCGTACGAGGGCACCGTCTTGGACCGGGTGCAGAGTCTCAACCAGAGGTTCAAGTTCGGCAAATGGGAGCTCTCGAACAATATCTTTTTCTGTGGCATGTAGAACACGCCGTCGTTTCACGTGATGAGATTGAGGTGAAGACCGATGCATATATATATACATAAGGTGAAACCGATTCGCGGCGAGAAGACGAGGAGGACACATCCAGACGACCCGTGCGCACCGAACGAGATCAGTCAACTCAGAGGACTGAACGGAGCCATGCAGTGGCCGGCGTCTAAGTGCATGGTGCAGGCGGCGGCGACGGTATCGTTCGCGCAAGGCGACGTCAGCAAGGCGACAGTCGGTAGCTTACTGGAGGACAACAAGTCGCTGAGGTTCCTGAAGGCGAGTGGCGATGTGGGGATCCGCATCAAGTACGTGGGAGCCTGGAGAAAGCTGAGGCTTGGAGTCTACTGGGGCGCGTCCTGGGCTAAGAGGTCGAATGGCGAATCGCAGGGCGGCTACATGATCTTCGTGATCGAGGATGCCAGGATGGACGACGGACAGCCAACGCAGTTGGTGATAGTAGACTGGGCGAGCAAGAATCTTGTGAGGATCTGTCGGAGCTCTTTGGCAGGCGAAGCTCAGAGCGCGGCCAACGCAAGTGGGCGCGCTGGAGTTTGCGAAGACTATGCTCACGACGATGCTCTTCCCCACGATGCAGCTGACAAGCACGGAGATTTTGAAAGTATTGGGGTGCAACATACGCATCACGGACTGCAAGGCGCTGTACGACGTTGCGAACTCTCAGGCGGCAGCCGGAGACTTCACGGAGCGCAGGACCGGGATCGAGATCTTGCAGGTCAACGAGAAGATGCGGGAGTTCGGAATGTGTATTGAGATGGACCAACACGCATCAGCAGATGGCGGACGGTCTAACGAAGCTACAGGTGCGGCAGCAGTTCGTGGAGAAGCTGAGAAGGATAACGCACGCACTCAAGTACGACGCGAGGTTCACGGCTGGCAAGAAGGCTAGTCAGAAAGAACGAGCTCAAGCCGAGAGAGAGCTGGATGAAGCGGCGGGAGACTTCGATGAAGCGAATCAGGCTGAAGACGCGGAAGGCGAGGACGGCGGCGAGCATGACCAGCTGAGAGAGCATGTACGTGCGACGATTTGCGGTACCCATACGGCAAGGAGGATTGCACAGATTGCGGCTGCAGCGGCTACGAAATGTGTCAAAGGCGAGAGGGTCGAGAAGGTCGAGACGGAGTTTGATTCCATGGGTACTGGTTTCGCTATTTGTTCTGATGGTGGCGATAACATTTTGTTGTGGATGCGCACTGGCGGCTACGTGCTGGCTCAAGTACACGACAGAGCAGAAGCTGATGGACGAGGTGCGTGTGCATCGAGATGCACGTAAGATGGCCGAACAGAAGGCCGACACAACGAGGATGAAACATAGAGCGAACGACGAGAGAGAGCCAGACAACAAGAAGCTTGTGCGGACGGCCAGCACCCAGAGCCAGTGCACGTGCAGGCGTGACCTGACCACGTCGAGTTTTCAGTACTTGCGAGAGTTTGAACAGAGGGCATCATTGAGTGCCGAGTTTGAGGCTTGAGCAAATGATCAGATTGAGGATGGAAAATTACCCCCGGTGAGATATAACGGCATGGATGCGAGCACGTTTCATACTTTTTGGGAGAAGGGCCAAAAGACTTCCCTTTTTCTCCGTGTGTCAACGGTACAGGACCCATGCCAATGTTGTTTCACTTATCAGGATTATGTGTTGCAGTAAAGCAGTGCTGTATATGATTTGTGGTGATTTGATGTACGTGTGCTGTCGCACACGTGAGTTCGCACCGACGCCGTTATTGATCAAATACCGAGGGGCCCCTGAGTCAATCAAAACTACTAGCGAATATCTTCGATTCCCTTTATGTTTCTTATTATGTTCTGTTTGGTTCCCTACTTCGTGTGAGAGAACCTCGGTGGCTCCAGAGGTGTTCCACCGACACTCTGAAGCCTCCGGCAGCCTCTGGAGACCACTGCGGAACTCTGCTGTACCAGAAGGCTGGACACGCCACCAATCACAGTCCCAATTCGCCCAAGCCGTTTGCTCACCTGATCAACGTGCCGATACAATGCCGAACACGCGACTGGACCGAACCATCTACTTCGGGTAACGATCCCGCGGTCGACGATCACTTCGACCACCGGGGGCGATCCACCACTCCGCCTACACTGAGCGCGCCGCTTCTGCTGTCTCGGTAGCCTCCCGAGTGGGCGAATGTTCACGGCGGTCCTCGCTCCTCCAAAAAGGAGGCTCGTCGCGCTGCGTGAACTGGAGGATCCGGTCCAAACTGCCCTGCAGCATGTCCGAAAGTGTCAAGCCATGGCCGCTCGTGAGGGTGATGGAATCACGGTCGACGTCGTGCCTGAAGAAACTGTTGCTCGTGGAAGTTGGTCTTGTGACACCTGAGACTGTGAGTTCAACAATGGGCGCAACACAACACGACTGGTCAAACAAAGAATGCCAGACTACTCCACCCGAATCAAATCCCAAACCTCCGACGTGTTTCTGTTGGAATTCAATATTCCCTTCCTTGAGGCCGTGCGGATCGTTTTTTGGGATGGCCCCAGTGTCTGCAAACGGCCTGGGGATCTTAAATTGACGAACAACAAATGCACTCGCGCCGGAAATTTGGGACTCGGAACACCCATCATCTTCAACTCCGGGGCGTTCTGGGGCCACGACATTTGCTTTGCCACGCCGATGCGCTTGTCAACTGTACAAAGACTGAGCAACTGGCTGGGGCGACCCTGACCATTTTCAGTCCAAGCCTCTGAAGCCGTGATTCTTCAGACCTAGCGTTTTGAACGATTTGGCACTCCTTGGGCGGATCCCAGGGCCTGGGATCATCAACTTTGGCTAGGGAGACGCTCAGGGCCAAAACCAAGTGGCCCCGACGCCGCTCCGCCAGAGGGGCGCGAGCGGCTCTATGGGGTACAGGCGATGAAACACCTGCTCAAACAACCTCGCCGTAGACCTGACCGAACAGCGAGCGCGCCGAGCCCGAGATGGCGCGACGGGTCTTCGGCGCGCGCCTAGAAAGGAACGCGAATGGTTGCCAGTCGATCGCATGGCAGCGAAAGGCAACAACGACAAGGTCCCAGGGGCCCCATCAGGTCGGAGGAGCACGGCGGAACCCATGAACGGCGTCGCTGCGAGCTGTGGCCAGTCCAAGAGAACACTGAAATTCGGTTTGGCCGTGGAAGCATTCGAGGCCTCCTAAATGGGGTCGGAATAGACGGGGTCGGAGGATCGCGCCGCATCGCCGATACAGCAACGATGCATCGGCGATGCATCGTTGACGTCGGCGATGCATCGGCGACGTCGGCGTGGAGAAAGTCGGGCTCCGCACCGAGCCGCATCGGCGATGCAGCGGCGATGCGGCGCGATCCCCCGATCCCATCTACTCCGACCCCATGTAGGAGGCCTGGAAACATGGAGTGAAGCCGCGCGGGCTGGATGCCATGAAAAGCGCGCGCCGCGACAGGATCCGGGGACCCCGCATGCCACGCGCCGAATATGGCGAGAAACCAAGCGAGCGGAAGCCAGCTGCGGAGCAACGACGCAGGTGCGAAAAGCGAGTGCTCCCCAAACCGCTAACAGGTCCAGGGACAGCGCGGTGCAATTCGCGCGCGACGGGGGCACGCGCGGCGCGGGGGCGGGCTAGACCACGCCCGGGGCCGGAGGCCTGGGGAAGGGCCGCAACGGCGGCGGGTGCGGCATCCGCAAGACGGAGGCTAAGGCCGCACACACACGCACAGACACAAACACTGGCATACACACACGCACACACACACACGCACGCGCGCACACGCGCGCGAACAGGCACAAACACAGACACAGACACAGACACGGACACAGACACAGACACAAACACACGAACACACGCACACACACGCACACAACCGCACACACGCACACACACACACACACACACGCGCACACACACACACACACACACACGCACACGCACACACGCACACACGCACACACGCACACACGCACACACGCACACACGCACACACGCACACACGCACACACGCACACACACACGCACACACGCACACGCACACGCACACGCACACGCACACGCACACGCACACGCACACGCACGCACGTGGCACGCGGCACGCACGCACGCACACATAATTACACACGCACGCACCACAGGACCTGCCCAGGCGCGACCCCCGCGCCATGCTTCGCCGCCGCCAGGTTCGCGGCGACGCGCGCTGGCCGCTGACGCCGAGTTGCGAAGTCCAGGGGGGGCCTCCTCCCCGCCATCGAACTTTACGCCGGAGTCGACGGCGACGCCCCCCCCGCGCCGCGGCAAAGTGGACGTCCGCATTGCGGGCGAAGCGGCGGGCGGCAGCCTCGACCACCGAAGGGAGAGAGTCTCCGTCTTCGAGCGCGAACCAATCAAACGGCTCGCGGGCCCTACCCCCATCGAACGATCGCCGACCACGCCGAGGCGGCCCGGCGCCGGGCCAGAGGCAGCCGCCCTGCTGAAAGGTGGCGCGCGGCGCGAGCCGCGGCCGCCGGCCGCGAGGGGCCCTCCGCCGCGGCCGCGGCGCCGAGCCCGCGGCGGTCGGGAAGGTCGACAGCGCAGCAGGCAGGCTGCCGGCGCGGGTGCCGCGCGCGGCTGCGCTCCACCCGCCCCGTCGTCGGCGCGCTCCGCTCGCTGCGGGGCGGCGGCAGCATCGCTGGAAAGGGTCTTGCCGGCCGGCGGAGGCGGAGGCGCCGCGGCCGGGGGCGCGAAGCGCCGCGGCGCCCTCGATCGACCTCCGCGCGGCCTGCTTCGCCCCGCGAGCGGGGGTGGCCCTTGCGCGGCGGCGTGGAGGGGGTGCGCGCGTCAATACGCCGCGGCGCGCAACGATTGGCGGCGGGGGCTCGGGGGCCGGCTCGCGCCGAGGACCTTTGCGAGCGCCGCTTCGGGGTCGGAGGTTCGCGCAAATGTTCCCCAATCCTGTTCGACCCGCGGCCCCCGACGCCCGCGCGGCCGCTCGCCCCGCCAGCGGCGGCGCGCCGCGGGTCGGCAGCCATTCGCGGCACCCCCAGGCCAGGCGCGCGACCAGGGCCCGCGGCCGTCGCTCGCGGGCGCGGCGCCTCGAGCCTCGAGCGGGGCCAGCGCAGGCCCCCGAACGGCAGGGGCCGCCGGAAGCGGCGGGCCCGGGGCTGGAAGCGCGCGCGGGTCGGGGGCAGCGGCTGCCTCTTTTCGCCGTGGGCGCGCCGCTGTCCGCCGTCGGCCCCGCGAAGCGAAGGCGGTTCGCCGCGCGGCGCGCGCGCCGCCGCGGCGGCGAGGGCGCGCGCCCCTCGGGCGCAGGGAAAGCCGCCCGCATCCCGCGAAGGCATTCGAGTCTGCGCCTGCGGCGCGCGACGCCCGCGCCTGCTCGCGCGCCCGGGGCGGGCTCCGCCAGGGTCTGGGAATGTCCGCAAGGCTATCCTCGCGGGGCCCCGCGCCTGCGACGCGCCTGATTCCGATCTGCGCGCGGGCGCGAGGCGCAGAGGCCTGGCCCTCGCGCGCCTGTCTCAGCCTCTGGCGCAGGCCGTGGCCCAGGCGCGGGCGGCGGGGCCGCCCCCTCCAGCGACGTCTCCAAGCGAGAGCGACATCGCCGCGCTGGCCTGGACTGGCTGCGACCCGGCGCCTTGCCAAGCGGCGCGCCATCTCAATGCCCGCGGAGCAGCGGGCCCCCCGACGAGCCCAAAGTGCGCGCCCTCCCGGGGCGGCGCCCCACCGTGGCCTTGCGGGGCGCGTCCTCGACGACGGCTGGGCGGCAGGCGCCCTGTCCAGCGGCGGCCTGGGGAGCTACCTTCGGGCGCGCAACGCCCCGTGGGCGCTGGCGCGGGGCCGGGGCGGCTCGGCCGACCCCGCGCGCCAGGGGGCCGCAATCAAACGCCGGGCCCCAAATGGCTAGGACCGCCGGCGGCGGCCGCGGAGGGGGGCCAAGGAGCGGCCCTTGACTCCGCGCTCGCGCCGGGGCCGCGGACGGCGATGGGCGGGGGCGCCTTAGCGGGAGTCACCCCTCCATGGGTCGTCGACCGACGGGCCGCGCTGCTCGGGCCACGCGTCGCGCGGCCCGCGGAGGTGGCCGCGGCCTGGGCGCTGGGGGCCTCGGCAGAGGGGGGCCCGTCGGCGCCGCTCGCTGGGGCGGCCGCCCCCGCGCCAGCGGGGGGCGCCGCCGCCCTCCCCCGGGGGGCGGGCTTCCCCGGGAAGTGAACTGGCAGAAGCGCGACGACGCGATCCCGCGTGCAATGCCAACGCCGCGCACTCAAACCTGAAACAGACTCCACTTCCGCCTCCGCGAGCCGCGCCGGGGGGGCGCGGGCGGGGGCGGGGGGCGGGCGGCGCGATGGCGCGCGGGGTCGTCGGCTCTGCGCGCGTCGGCAGGCGCGTAGTAGAGCCCCGCCCCCCCCCCCCCCCCCCCCCCCCAACGCCCCGCAGCGTTCCCAACCGTGCGAGGTGGCGCCCAGAGCCACTGCAGGATCCGACGGCGCGGGCTTCTTCGGATCAGGGAACCTAGCCTCTGTTGCAGACGGCAGTTTCCAATCCATCAATGCGGCGCGGCAAGCGGCACTCTATCTTCTTGGCGATCTGGGGGCAGATGGCCCCCGAGACTCCCGCGACCCTGCGCGCGGCAACTGGGGGCTCGATGGGGGCCCCCGCTGTTCTTGGAGCAGCAGGGTGGGCCGCGCAAAACGGCGCGCCGAATGCCGCGATCCGAACGGATCCAGATCTCGGAAGAGGACCGGCCGATCGGAGCGCGGACGACTCCCCCAAGCGAGGGAAGCACCCGCACCGCGCGCTTCGGGGCCACGCTCCGCGCGAAGGTTGGCCCTCGCCTTGAGGGCCAGAGGCGCGCGTGCCAGGCGCTCGCCCCGAGCGGAGTTTAGATAGCAAGAGTTCACGTCCGCCGCCTGCCTGCGAAATCGACAGGGAGGCGCTGATGTGGGCAGCGAATGTCGGCGGCACGGGGGGACCTAAACCCAACTTCCCATCAGCGACGCCCCGGTGGCGCGCGTCGAGCGCCCGAGGTGCACTTGGGCGAGCTTTAGTCTTCAGAGGGCCACCAATCGCTGGAGCGGTGCGCAGACTACGTCGATCCCACCGCCCACCTTTACGCCGACGACGACCGCATGGGTCGCGGCGAGGGTGCGCCTACCAGGATGCCGAGTCAATCGCGCTGTTGGGCAACCACGATCGAGCGCGGCAGAAACCACCTGGCCCCCGCGAGCAGGAACGTCAAGGCGGGGAGCCAGTCCACTCAGGGCAAGCTTCCGACAAGCGCGCGGTTGCCGATGTCGAAGATTTCGACGAAATAGCCTCGCGGGGGCGAAGGGCGGCGCAGGGCTTTCCCCCGGGGGCCAGACCGGAAGGGCCCGCAATTGCAGCGCGCCTTCACGGGCAGCATGTCGCCCGCGGAAGGGCCCGCAATTGCAGCGCGCCTTCGCGGGCGGCACGTGCGATATCAGCCGCCGCGCTGTCGCCCATGGCAGGCGCGCTCATCCGCGAGGGCGCGTCGAGCCCATCCTGCTCGGGTCGCCAAGCCATGGGCGACTTTGCTCGCGTCGACGGGGGGCCGAACTCGCGGCGCAGTCCGCTCGGCGCGGGCAGGCGGCGCCCTGAAGGCGCCGCAGAATCCGCGCAGGTCGTCGAACGACCCGCCGGCCCCGCGCCCGGAGCCAGGCGCGCGCCAAAGCAAAGGCCCCGGCAAAAGTCAAAAGGGGGGGGCCGAATCAAGTGGGCTGCAAGAGCCCCACTTCCAGAAAAAGCCGCCCGCAGCTCCGCGCGATCCACGCGGGCCCGCGCGCCCCGAAGATCCTGCATCTCACCCCCCCGAAGACGGGCGCGTCTTCTCTAGGTCGCGAGAAGCAGCGCGTGCCCGACCACCGGAAAAACGACGGGTCGGATCCTGCGTCGGCGAGCCCCGCTCGACGCAGGACGCCCTGGCGCACGGGTCGCGGGGCTCGGCCAAGGCGGGCCCCCGGGCCGCCGCAGGGGCCAACGAGCCAGCCGCGACAATGCTGGTCGGGCACTGCCTCGCGGGGACAGGCGCGAGCGGGCGGGGGGGGGGCTGCCTCCGACAGAGCTGCGACGTGGGTGACCAGGCCGCGGGGCGACACCTCAGCGGAGATGGGCTCGGCAACCGCTTGCGCCCCGCGGGCGAGGCGGACTGCGATCGCGCCGACCTGCTCGACGCGACCTCGCGCGCCCCCGCGGCAG